CCGAGCCGTAAATATTTCTTATCAATAAGCACCAGCGCGCTGGCTGGGTCCAGTAGCTCATGTCTGTGATCCCAGTACTCTGGGAGGCTAAGGCAGGTGGATCGCTTGAGTTCAGGAGTTTGAGACCAGCCTGAGTAAGAGCAAGACTCCATCTCTAAAAACTAGTTGGGCATTGTGGTGGGCACCTGTAGTTCCAGCTACCGAGGAGGCTGAGGCAGGAGGGTTACTTGAGCCCAAGTTTTAGGTTGCTGCGAGCTATGACACTCAGGGTAACAGAGTAAGACTCTGTCTAAAAAAAAAATAAAACTAAAAGGCCGGGCACAGAGGCTCACACCTGTAATCCTAGCACTCTGGGAGGCTGAGGGAAGTGGATTGCTTGAGCTCTGGAGTTCAAGGCCAGCCTAAGCAAGAGTGAGACCCTATCTCTATTAAAGATAGAAAAACTAGCCAGGCATTGTTGTGGGCATCTATAGTCCCAGATACTTAGGAGGCTGAGGCAAGTGCATTGCTTGAGACCAGGAGTTTGAGGTTGCTGTGAACTATGACACCACAGCACTCTACGCAAGGTGACATAGTAAGACTCTGTCTCAAAAAAAAACCCAAACCAGCCCCTACCTGTCACAGTTAAGGGGACTGACTGTGGAAAGTAATCAGGAGGAAAAAGTATATCCATGCACACGGACTGTCTACAGAATTGTCAGGTGCGTGACCACAACACTAGCATTTCCTTCAGGTGTCTGTGAAGGAAATCCCCCTGGTCTAAGGGCTTCTGTTCGGGTTTCAGACTCTACCTCCCTTCACGCCAGGGTTCTTCCTTCTTTCCTTATTTCCACACACAGGGGTTCTGCTGTCTGGCACCACTGCGCCCTCCCACCTGCGCCCCCACTCCCCCCCCCGCCCCGCTCACCTCCAGCCTCTCCTCCAGGTAATCCCGGATGTCCCTCATGTGGGCTGCATAAGCCTCACAGTTCTGGGCCACCAGCTCAGCAGCCTGGGGACACAGACACATACCACGCATGTTAGCATGTTCCAGTTGTGCCAAACAGACGAGAGGGAAGAAGCTTAAAGCAACACAGGTGACATCTCCTGACCCAAGAGGTGACATTTCCTCAAACTGCTGGCTCCCTGGAGCATCACAGACACAGTCCCTTCCAGTGGTGCTCTGACCAGGTGGCTGACGAGAACTTAATAGGCACTTCTTGACGGCACCAGGCAAACAGGGCCCTAATGGGGTCTCAGTCCTTAAGGAGCCACGTCTCAGAGAGAGAAGGACAAAAATAAGGGAAGATGTGAATGGACTCCCACCGACCAGGTCAGTGCTGTGACAGGGCCATGCAGGCTGCTGGGGGAGCCTCCCGGGGCTGCGCGAAGATGGGGAAGTGTCCAGAAAGGCCTGCGGGGGACAGACGGCCCTGCCCCCGAACAGAGGGGCTGCGGGAGACAGACGGCCCTGCCTCTGAACAGAGGGGCTGTGGGGGACAGATGGCCCTGTCCCTGAATAGAGGGGCCTGTGTGGTGGATTGAGCAGGTGAGGGAAGATGGCAGATCCAAACCAAGGCCAGTGGGTCTGGACACAGGACCTGACTTGCATGTTTACTGGTCCTTGGTGGCTGTGTGGACAATGGCAGCAGCAGACCCTCAGGAGGACACCGCATGTGTCTAGACCCTTGGACTATGGGTGGTAGTCACGAGAACCAACAAGAGGAAGTTCCTGGATGTATTCAGGAAATGGGACTGCTGCCACCTGAGATTCGGGGACGGGAACAAGGGAGGACCAGGGGCGTTTCCTAGACTTCTGGAGGAACAACCTAAGGCTGGCAGGTGTCTCGGGTGAGGCGCAGGACAGGGGAGAGACTGGGAATGTCTATGAAGCAGCTGGGACATGGGTCTCCCAGGAGAAAGATGAGGACATGGCCAAAGGCTTGAACACAGGCCAGTGTCACAGCAACGAGACCGGGTGTGACCCAGGAGGGGCACAGGTGCAAGGAGGAGCTGCCAATGGGGACAAAGGCAGAGAAGTAACCCATGTGGGGGGCAGGCTGGGAGGGAAGCCATTGGCAACAGTGGACAGGACAACGTGGTGGTGGGTGGGGACCTTCTTAGAAGTGCTGGGAGCGGGTGTGGGGAGAGCAGGGGAGGCCACTCCTAAGGGGCTTCTGGCAGGAGGGCGGCTCAGGGGCACAAGGCTCAGGGGGGCTTCCAGTAGGGAAGTGATGGCGCAGCAGAGACGTAATAAGAAGATCCAAAACATTTAGAAAGCTGCTGTTGCGAGGCCCACCTTGCAGGTGGGACAGCTCAGGAGGCAGCGCAACTGGACCCACGCGTGTGGTAAGGCTCCTCAGCCAGGATGTGAGCCCAGAGAGCTTCTGAGCCTGACCTTACTGCCCCTCACCTCTCAGCTCCACACACACAGGTGCTGGACTCCTGCTCCAAACTCCCTCCCTTCAGTAAACACCACCAAGTCATCTTGGTACAAGGTTTATATCAGTGGTTCTCAACCTGTGGGTCACAACCCACAAGAACTGTATTAAAGGCTTCGGCATTAGGAAGGTTGAGAACCACTGGTTTAGATGCACCTGCGGTCAGTCCAGTGTATGGTTGTGAATATCTGAGTAACAGTGGCCCCACTCAGACTCTCCCGGGGGACTGTGAAGCCCTTTCTTCTGTGCTGAAGACACTGAGGCAGACAAGGCCAACACTGTGCTCAAGGAGCTAGGCCAGTCCACACATATGGGATGGAAAGGACATTGGATGGGGGCAGGAAGGCAGGGTCAGGGACAGAGCAACACTGAGGGGCCACGGATGGACTGCTGCTGTAGCTGCAGCTCACGGAGGGCTGCTCAGAGGACGCAGCCTGTAAGTGGAAGCCTGTGTGTGGTGTGGAGGGGTGGCCGGATGCTCAGGGCAACACACCCTGCCTTCCCATCACACCAACGCTGCGCTGGCATCGCGCCCCACAGGCCATTCGGGGACTGAGCACCAGTGGTGCAGGGGCTCCAACACCGGCAGGAATGCACAGACCTGTGGCAGGACACGTCACCTCTGTTGCGATGATGTCACCATATTTCTTATATTAGAAGACGCAGAGACAAAGAGCTTTCCCTTTCAACCCATCCTACAGATCTCGAAAAGTGTGGTTCTAGGATGTGAATAAAACCCGGGGCTTTTTCTTATCAGTCTTTTCATAGATCATGACTATGACTTTCCTAAAGCCTGGATTCCAACAAAACCTGCTGAGGAAACTGAGGACAAGGCAACTGACTCGTCTGTAACCGGGGCTCACCTTCCCAAGGCCAGCAATCATTGGGGTGTTCTCGGTCCTGCAAGAGACAAGGGAATAAACAGATGTCAAAGGAAGGAGTCCTGCCTACATGAAAAGTCATTGTGTTAAAATAAAAACTCACACCAACCTCTTTCCTAAGCTTGTGACATATGGTTGCCCAATGGCAGCTGCAGCCCCCAAATACCTCTCATGCAAAGGGTGACTCGTCTGGCCTCACAACAGGGGTCACTACGGCCTGCCATGGACGACATACGTGAGCTGTCCAGGGAAAATTCTATCTGGACTCTTTCCTCCTCCTGCTACAGGAGCGGGACAGGCCTCTCTTTGGTCCCACGGCCAAACCAGCAGGTGTGAGGAGCCCCTTTGGGGTAGGGCTGCCACCCCCACCCCTACCCACATCAGCAGAGGTCAAGTGGGAAACCAGACTTCCACCCACACAGGTTAGGGTTAGGTTGAGGATTTCCTATTTGGTTTTTGGTTCCTATTTGTTTTTTTATTCTCTGTTTATTTTTTT